TGTATAAACCGAGATTCTGTGTCACAGTAGGTGTGGGTGTTGGCACGAAAAGGATCCCTTACTTCTCAAAGGCAATAAGTGCTGAGTACAAGTCTATATTTGCAGCTTACTATCCCAAGTGGTGGCATCATAAAATGACTGAAAAATTTTCAATAGGCTAATTAACAAACAAACCATTTCTGCAGCCTTATCACAAAAAAAAGCAAACTCTACTATTACATTTTTTTTTTTTTTTTACAAATTTCTTTTGCAATTTAACTAAGAAACATACATATGACATAATAAAATATTGATTTAATTAACTGAGCAATATTATATTGTGTGCAATTTTTTTGTCAATAAATTATACTAAATTTTTTTCTGCAGTAACTTTGGACCCACAGTGCTTTGCTTCTTTGAGCTACATTCAAGCTTTAAAGTGGTATTGTAGGCCAAACTTACACTACGACGTCATGTGACTTTAGAGTCTAGTGCCCTGTTCAGACGGAGAGTTTAATTCGCAGTAAATTATTGCGAAGTAAACTAAATTAAATGCAAATCAAACTAATGCGAATCAAACTGTGTTCACATGACAGCTAATTATAATGCAAAGTAACCAAATCGAATAAAAATTTTACTTTGACAGTCATGCAGGCTTCAGTTAGGCTTTTATGACATCATTTACAAATCATGTCACCTTAGGCATAAACAGATGTATTTGACATAATGTCACAGTGTCTGTTTTCACATTTTAGTGATTAACACTATATTTTCCTTAGTTTTTCACTCAAAAATAGCACAAGTACTTAAAGCTGACCACCAACATGTAGCATTTGACTTAATTTTGCCATTTCACATGCCTCAAAATTTAATTGGAATTAGCTTACCTTAGTCATGTTAGTGTTCACAAGGAGCTAATGCAAAGTAATTTAATGCGCAGTAAATTAATTCGAATTAAAATAATTTGAATTGAACTCAGTCCATGTGAACATGCATCGATGCACCAAATGTCTAGTGCGGTTTGACAAGCCTGATCTAAATTAAAAGTGAATAAGTATCTGCCCTTACCATGCTTATCGTACCCTAACATCACACCCGTCAACATATTATTAGTTGAAAAACATTTTGTTTTGAACATGTTGAAAGCAAGTCTTGTTGAAATTACATGCTCACACATATTTAAATAAAATTTAAAGCTGTGGGGATTTTAAAAGGCTAACTGAGAGCGTCTGAACTGTAAAACAGTTAATATATCGCTGTGTCTGTGTATTTCTAAAAATATCGACAGCTGATAAATGCTCTAAGCTGCCATAGTAATATAATGTAAATTTTAGGTAAACAAAAATCTTACCTTCGAATTCATTCCCATGGTCCACGCCAATCATAAATTAAAATGTAACCGTCAGCTCTTTAATCATTCGATACAATTATCACTGGGGAATCCGAAACAGAGTCAAGAGTGTTCATCCTTGTTTATTACTGTGACAGTCGGAATTTCCTCGTAAACAATTCACACAAGAATATATAAATCGGATAATTTTGCTTAGAATAATGCTCCAGAGGATTGATAAAGTACTTTGAGCTGCAGATAAAATGTCCGTGCATGTTTACATACGGCTTGTATGGTGAGAAAATCCTCAACTTCACTTTGTAAACATGATCAACATGTGTCCGATTTGCCGATTTCGATGGGACACACTGAAACCCGGATGTACTAAAGACCTGAAATTACCCGATGTTTTTATTTTAAATTAAATGATAATATTGAGTACTTAAAATGTCTTATTTTAAAGACCTTTGACTATGATGCATTATGTTATACAAGAATTCATTTGTTTGGAATATTACTGACAATTTTTAATCAGGTCAAATCAGGATTTTAGCATATCAAGTCTTTAGTACCTTCCCGTTTCCCACAATGCCGCGCGTTGTTTACACCTATACAAATGCAGAAAAAACCCATTTTGATTTCACCTTTTGTTGTGTACATACATCACATTTTAAATTACTTGCATAAAAAGAAAACAGAGAAACACCGAATCAACACTATATCTTACTGATGCATCAACTAAAACCAGGGACCTATGTTAGTATATAGGTCCCTGCTAAAACTGTGCGTTAGTGGCACAGTAAAGGCTTGGCTGGCTACAGTAGCTAGACAACTTGTCCATGTAAGGTTTCCCACATATTTGTTTTATAAAAAACAAATATAGTTTGGAGTTTGTTTATCTTTATACCAAATGACAGGGTTTTTCATCAATTCGAAATGATTTCAGATAAAATTTTTCATAGTATAACTGTTACCATTAAAAAATTAATATTTTTAGCTCTCAGAAAAAAAAACGTTTATGATCTATTTACCCCTGGCCTAATTATAGGGGCCAGCCCCTTTTCCTTAATCTTATATGAAAGCTCTCATAATTACGCACAACTTTTGTTGTATATTTCTTGCCAAACTATTCTCGGTGCAAAAGTAATTACGCGTTTTGACCGGAAGTGACGTCATTTGACGACTTTTGACAATTCCGGCATTATTTCCGGCTGACATCACAGTCAGCAAGTCAGAAAAAAATTGAAAAACTCAAAATTCAATCGTTTTATTTGATTTATTTTGATTCAAAGGAAAAACTTTGAATTTTCGACTACTTCCGGTTTTTACCGGAAGTACTTCTGATGGATGCTTTTTGTTGAGGATTGTGAATAAAAATATATGTTCTATTTGCCTTTAATCAATCCCGTTAAATTTTTCAAAAAATCTTAAAATTAAACATCCCTTCCTGTGTCGACCGGAAGTGACGGATGCGAAATTAAAAGACGTCATGCATAACTCAATAAGATGTTTTATAATCCCTGAAAATATCATGATTCAATCTTGAGTGGTTTACAAGAAGATGCTTGGACAAAATGACAACTTAAAAAAAGAAAATCGGACAAAAAATGCGACCGGAAGTGATTTTCAAAAAAATGAAAAAAAGGTCTGGAGATATTGCAACAATGCATCATTCCTGAAAAAATCTTTGAAATCGGTTCAGTAGTTTCGGAGAAATCACGTGTACTATGAAAAGGGAAAAATAATAATAATAGGAAACATAAGAAAAACAGGTGTGAAGGTCTTATTTTTTTTTTTCAATTTCTGTTTATCCTCAAAGTGAACTATCCCGAATAGTTCATCGAAAAAGGTTGAAAAGTTTCGCCGGAAAACATGGCTCGCCCTACGACGGTCAGGTATCCGATATCATTTATGCTCAATAACTTGAATCAGGTCTTTGAGACAAGAATGCTAAAATAAACTCCATGAAGCGATCTTAAAAAAAATCGTTTTATTATTTTTGTCTAATTTATTAGTTTAAAATGACACAAGTATGCATAGGAAAAACAGTGGTTAATATTTATACTGACAAAATTAATTGCTATTCTTGTTTGAGAAAGTATTACTTATGAGTATAAGATCTGTTTTTCCGTGATACACAAAATATATTAGGTATCAAATTTCATTTGAACATTTAGTCTTTTCTTTTTTTACTTTGAAAACCAGCCAAAACCAATTATAGAAGACGTTAGTTTGACACAGAATTGCAACGTAACTACGACGTGACAATCCAAGTAGTCTTTTACATTTCATTTATCTTTATGTTAATTTCGTTAAAGCAAACGCTCGGCTGACTCCGTAAACCCCTATTGCGAAATGTCGGCGTTGACTGAGACAGCTGCCATTTTGAAGCCGCTTCAGATTTTTGAATGCTAATATCTAGAGTTTAGATTTACCAACATTCAAACAAATTATATAGTTAGCATTATAAGGAGTGTTTCTATTAAAATACCAAAAATAAATGAAAAATACTGAAAACCAAAAAAGTAAGAAAATATGATTTTTTTTAATTTGCACCTCGTAACGACCGGAAGTACTGACGACGCACGAAAAGGCGATTCTGCAAACCAGAAAGTTACGATCTATCATCTCCAACAATAATCTCAGCCATTTTCGATAAAAGTGCGCGACAAAATCGCATTTTAAAATGAGAAAATTGTCAATAAATTGGCACCAGAAGCGAATTTTTCAAATTTCTCTTCGGATGTAACAACTTCATATAATGACACATTTTTTGTGAAACTTTCATGAAAAACCGCTGAATAGTTTTCGAGAAATCGCCTGCACAAAATTTTGTCAAAAAAAGATCGATATATGCACGCATCAAGATACTAAATACATACTTAGAATTCTCATAATACACACTATAATCCCTGTAAATACTAAAGAAAAATATTGAAAAACAAAAAAGTTGAAAAATTGACTTTTTGAATTCACTTCCGTGTGCGACCGGAAGTGCCGACGACGAAAAATAAAGGTCGTTGCCCATAATGGAGTTCGACGTTCTATCACCTCAGTGAGTTTCACTTTCATATCTTTAGCCGTTCTCGAGAAAACTGCTGGACAAAATGCCTTTAAAAAAATACAAAAATCTCCCAAAATCGCGAACGGAAGTGAATTTCGAAAAAATGAAAAACACGTCTGGAGATATTCTCAAGATGCATCTTCCCTGAGATAATCTTTGAAATCTGTCCACGCATAGCTGATAATAATAAAAAACAGAGTAAAAACAATATGTTCCCCAACTTCGTTTGGGTAACATAATATATGCACTTTCAACATTCAATGATTTGAATATTTCTTTTATTTCAGGCCTCCAGTCTGCTTCAGTAGTTTTTTAATGATATTGCTGCACTTGATTCCTCTTCTCTAATTATAAATCAGAATTTGTATGAATAAATAAAAGGTTATATACTTATTTTCCATTTTTTTTTTTATTTTTCTAATCTTTTGGAAGTCCAGCATTTCTTCAATATGTTATAAACATCGATTTTATTCACCTGCAATAGCTAAAAAAAAATTCAAGAGTTGCCTTGCATAAAGTGTTAAATTTTGTTAGTTTTCTTCTGAGTTTGTATGGCAGTCGTCGATAACTAAGATACATGTAAGATATTCATGTATCATTTTTCCTTCATTAGATTGTTGAGAATTAATAAGGTCGTGTGTCATTAATCTGAGGGTATAACCGTCACGTACACATTGGTGCTTTTACTGTCAGATTCTGGTGTTGCGTGAAATTCATCATTAAACGTATGTACATCTGATGATGATGCTGTATCTATATTATTTGGCAGCACATAGGCGTTATCTTGATCACCTGCAATCAGGGGATTTATTTCAATTGTTTGATTTGATGCCATCCTTTGTGGTTTTTCTTCTTTGTCACAAATGTCCCTTGATGATAGAACATTTATAGAGTATGATTCTTTTCTACGATCGTACCAAATTGAAAGATTACCAACGCCCTGAAATAGCATTTGATACCCAAGAGTTTCGTACTCATTGGTATTTTGTTGTGCATCATTTCTGGCATGAGCTATAATAGCAGGAGAAACGTAATCATTCTTCTTAAATAGTGTCGTCTTCTTATTTAGAACACAATAAAGAATTAGTGGTAGTGCAACCACCAACATTACGGACGCTGCTGCAAACAAAATTGCTGTGAGCAGAAGATTGTCTAAGGATCTTGGTTTAGAGGTTACTGTTACTGATATGTTTGACAAGGGTAACACTGTGATATTAGTTATATGGTAGGAAAGAAATCCTATATATGGATCATGCTTTCCATCATTGACTAGTGTTGAGAACAAATTCTGACTTCCTGTATACCCTAGAAAAAAAATGCGTAAGAGAATAAAAACAAACTCAATTTTTGAAATTCCCATTTCTTTGAGATATATTTTATAAATATAGACAAATGTAGAAATAAATGTAGTGTGTAATACAATCGTTTTATGGACAATTATCGATTTTTTGTGGATGGTGATTTATTAAAAAAAAACGTGTTTCAAATACCTGTAAATCTGGTACACCCATAGGAAATATTACACGCTAACCTACTGCACTGGCACGTGTGTAGACATTTTTCTCCATAGTATGGGTAAGGGCATGCTTTTTCGCAACTGAATCCAAAATAACCATTTGGACATTCTGAAGTATAAAATTATATACTTTGGAAAAAAAAAAAATAAGGTATAAATTTTTAAAACATT